GGCGATAGACTGTATAATTGGCAAACTGGACATTTTGAGGTGGAAAAGAAAAAAATGGTGGAATATGTTCAGTTAGGTGTCAGAAACAACATATTAGAAATCCCACCCTCCAGACCCTGTGCCAAAGGCTCTAGCCACCCCACCATCCCCCAAAAACCGTGTTTTCGCTCTTTTTGGCTGATATCTCGCGATCTATGAGGTCTATATGAAATATTCTTAGCTGAAAATATTTCTCGGGAAATTTCATACAAGGTAGATACTCAGATGTTAGCCTAGGTGTACCTCTTAGCCTAGGAAATTCATAAAAGAGGCGAAAATCATCAATTTTCGTGGCCTTTTGCAAATATATCGCAACCTTTAGGGCTAGATGAAATATTTTTAGCTGAAAATGCTCCTCGTGAAATGTCTTACAAGGTAGATACTCAGAAGTTAGCCTAGGTGTACCTCTAGCCTAGGAAATTCATAAAAGAGGCGAAAATCACCAAACCCGCAGAAATCTGGGACAAAATAAAATCATTAAATGGTACCCAAACATCCAATAAAACAAACAACAATAAAACTATTACGGGCAAACAATAAATAGCAAACAATCTAGCAGACGCCTTTGAAAATAATACGAGCAATAACCACTACTCCCCAGAATGTGTACAATACAAAAATGCAGCTGAACTCGAATCTATCCCAAATGCAGGTAACCAAAACAGCCCTCTAAATGCAGATATAACAGCAGAAGAACTCGACTCCGCCATATCGGATATAAAAAATAAGAAATCAGCAGGACCTGACAGAATCATTCCAGAAATCATAAAACACCTACCGCCTTCTGCTAGAGGAGTACTTTTAAAAATATACAACATTATATGGACACAACGTGTTTACCCGAATGCATGGAGAAAATCTATAATAATACCGATTCTTAAATCTAAAAAAAGACCAAACAAACCCCAATAACTATAGACCCATCTCCCTCACAAATGTACTAAGAAAGATATTACAAAAAATAATAAACAATCGATTAGTGTGGTACCTAAAAACCCATAACATCCTATCAACCCACCAATGCGGTTTTAGAAAAAAAAGAAGCACCTTAGACCAAATTGTCAGCCTCCAAAAAACCATAAAGTCTGCATTCGAACACAAACAACATCTAGTGAGTGTATTCCTGGACATCTCAAAGGCCTACGATACAGCGTGGCACCATATAATAATAAAAAATTTAAGCCAACACAACATTACAGGCAACTACATAGGTACTATAAGAAATTTCCTGACGAACCGAACTTTTCAAGTGAAATTCAATAATAGGTTATCAGTGGAAAAACAACAAATCAACGGAGTCCCACGAGGAGAAATACTTCGCGCTACCTTATTCTTACTAGCAATAAATAAAATTACTGACACCCTACCAACAAGAGTTGGGAAATCATTATTTGCGGACGACCTGGCAATATACTATAAAGATAAAAACATCAAAACCATACAAAGCAAAATACAACAAACACTAAACAAACTTCAAAAATGGTCATTCGAAACCGGATTTCATTTCTCCGCAGAAAAATCAAGTGCTATGCACTTTACCCGTCTACAGCGTTCTAACACAAACCCACAAATCAAATTAAACGATCAACCAATTAGATACGTAGACCAATTTAAGTTTCTATAGGAGTACTATTTGACAGAAAACTAACGTGGGCCAAACACATCGAAACCTTAAAAACGAAATGCATACAACGTATAAACATTCTAAAAAAACTAAGTTGCCACCGCTGGGGATCAGACACATCAGTACTCATCAAGATATAGGTAAGTATAGAAGTATCATCAGATCCAGACTGGATTACGGTTGCATCGTTTACGATACAGCCAAAAAATCACACACGTGTAGGTAAATTAGATACGATTCAAAACAGCGTTGAGAATAGCTACAGGAGCTTTTCGAACAAGCCCTATTGAACTTTTATTAGTAATTTCAGGAGACGTCCCCCTAGCACTAGAAAACAACTAAACATACGCCGCAAGTGTTTTACGAACCCAGGCCCACCCTGTTCAAAACCACCTACTAACCCCATACAGCCATCTACACATCCATCTCCAAAATATATCCTCCTACTTAAACTACACATTACCGAAAATCAGCACACCTACACGACACAAAATAGCGCCATGGACAATGGAACTACCACAAATAAACACTCATAAAAGATCAAGTGTCGGCAGCTTTCATCCACAATCAACAAGAACGCTTGTACAAAATACAACCAGAGACAAGCATCTGCGTAGCGGAAATGGTAGCCATTAAAGAGGCACTTAACTACATAGCGACCATTCCAAACAGAAGACGATATCTTATCTGCACAGACTCTCTAAACAGTACACACATCTTCCGGCACGTTACGATATTAGAGCACAACTGCACATCCTAAAGTTAAAAGGAATAGAAGTATCCTTCATGTTCACGCCATCGCACGTAGGAATAACGGGAAACGAACAACCAGATCGAGCAGCAAAAGAAGCACTAAACTCACCATTATCAACAAAAATCACCATAGAAGAGAGTATACAAGACAAAACCCAAATAAAGACCAAGATTCATGGACATTTGCAAACCAAATGGAACCAATCGAAATCAGACTTCAGGGAAATCCATCCAATTCGCGCTCACCACTTCCCACAGCCGAAACTGAACAGTACTATATACAAAAAACAATAGACTACTANAGTAATCGTAAACGATTTACATAAAGCGCATTTCCACTTGCATTCATTTCCCATTTGTAAGATGCAACTTCTGTTAAAATCGTAAAAATCCGGCCACAAATATGAAAGATAGCGTTGCACATGGGCAATCCATTTTTGACGTGCTACTTAATTTCAGTTTATGAGAAGAATTTCATTTCAATGCTTTTCTAAATAAGAAAGCTGGAACTGCGCATGCGCAAACCTAAATTTTAAAACTAATGTTAGATTTTCTTTTGTTCCAAGCGCCTAAGTATCAAATTTCACTTAAATAGTTCCATAGATAAAAAAGTTGGCACGGCGCATGCGCAAAATAAAATTTTGAAACTGGCGCTAGATTTTCCTTTATTCCAAGTGCCTATGTATTACATTTCATTTAAATTCTTCCATAAATAAAAAAGTTGGCACTGCGCATGCGCAAAACCAAATTTTGAAATTGGCGTTTGATTTTCCTTTATCCCAAGTGCCTATGTATCAAATTTCGTTTAAATTCTTCCATAAATAAAAAAGTTGGCACTGCGCATGCGCAAAACCAAATTTTGAAATTGGCGTTTGATTTTCCTTTATTCCAAGTGCCTATGTATCAAATTTCGTTTAAATTCTTCCATAAATAAAAAAGTTGGCACTGCGCATGCGCAAAACCAAATTTTGAAATTGGGGTTTGATTTTCCTTTATCCCAAGTGCCTATGTATCAAATTTCGTTTAAATTCTTCCATAAATAAAAAAGTTTGCACTGCGCATGCGCAAAACCAAATTTTGAAATTGGCGTTTGATTTTCCTTTATCCCAAGTGCCTATGTATCAAATTTCGTTTAAATTCTTCCATAAATAAAAAAGTTGGCACTGCGCATGCGCAAAACCAAATTTTGAAATTGGCGTTTGATTTTCCTTTATTCCAAGTGCCTATGTATCAAATTTCATTCAAATACTTTTATAAGTAAAAAGTTTGCAATTCGGTTTATAAATGGTCGAGATGCGAAAAGGGCACTGTGAATTTTGAATCGATTCGATTCAACTTTTGGCATTGCGTATTATATGGTTAAAGCTATGCCCATATTGAATTTCATGCAATTCAGTTCATAACTAACGGAAATGTAAAAGCGATCGAACATTTCTAAACAAAGTTATCGTTCACATGGACAGATAGATGGACAGACAGACAAAGGAACAGACGGAGAGACCAATCGGCAGGCGACAGATAGCAATGCAAAATTATAAACGATCTCTAGGATCGTTAATAAACGGCAAAAGTGTAAAATTATGGAACATGTAAAAAACGGTTTTTTGTTTTTTTTACAATAACTTTTTTGTAAGCGGTACAGAAAAAATTCCTTCCTTGGTACAAGACTCGACACCATAACGAACCAAATAGCGAAAAAAGTAGAACAATAGCTCTTAAGATAAAGAACTAGTAGCGTCGCAAAAGTAGCGGACGGACGGACAAAGTGGCCACAATAGCGCATTTTTTTTTTATTGTGGAAATGCGCTAAAAANTTGCGATACCCTGGCACCTTACTCTATCTTATGAAACAAAAATTTATTTGTTCTTTTTCCATTGTTATGTACCTACCCTATTTTGTTGTTTCTTCTTCACTCTTCCTTTTCTATCAAATTGTTTAACTAACATAAGTACAACATCTACTAACTGCCCTTTCCTCTAGTTTCACTCAAACGGGCCAGATCACCACACTTCTTCCTTTCCCTTACTATTACTACCATGTACCAGAACGGGCTCTTCCACTTACAGTTGCAACTGTAAATAACTAAGGCAGTCCCCAATCCTCAGAGGACCATCTCGTAAGCCTGGCCTGTTTTGCACATTTACTATCAAGAAAAGAACATGAGCTTACTTGTAGAAGATGTGATCCAGACGATGAGACGATATACCACATACTTTGTGAATGTTCCGCTCTAATCTAACTGATCCATATTCCATGTTGGAGGTATCCTGACCGGATAATAGACATATCTACGAATAAAGCCGCTTCACCTTTCAGCATCCTTAGGTTCATCTCACGTGTGGGATGGTGTGGTGTGACTGACGGTGCGGGGTCGGATGACTCGACTCACAGAAGTAATACGAAGGGTCCAAATTTGATACCTAAGCACACGTGGTCCCTGTTCACCCCACTATAGTAGTCGAGCGAATCCAGACCAGGTATCAATATATTAAATGGTTGTCCGAAGCCCGTTGATGATTTGAAGTTTGTATTGCCAAGGGCGTCGTTTGTTGAATCATAGTAGATAAGAATAATTAAAATTTTCCGCGATTTTGATAACCTAAATTTGGCATGAAATTCAAAAATATAGGCGTATACTTTCGGTTGACCGCAGTCAATATGTTTTATTAATTGGTACGTAAAAAATACTCATGCGGCCCATAATAATACTTCTTGTGCATCTTTGTGGCGTTTTTGGTGCCGGGGAACTTGCCAAACAAAGTAAGCCCGTATTGTAAACTACATATTATTCTAACGTAACACATTTAGAATGTATGGAATATTCGAAAGCTGTTTATGCTCAACAGAATAGCCCTCTACTTTTACCTGGCAGCCGAAAGGATACTGTTTCTGAATGTGGTATTGTTGAAGTTCCCTTAATAGTGGGTGGAACTAAAGCTACCAAAAACGAATTTCCTCATATGGTATGTATGTAAATGGCTAAATGCGCAGGCACTGTATATTTTTTATGTCACGCTAATCAGTGAAAAGTGTTATCAAAGACTATAACCTTTATATCTATAGTATTTGCAGATACCTAGGTAGATCTTGATTTAAAAAGGTAACAAAATGAGAGTTAATGAAAGCACTTGGACCATGGGTCGCGAGTTTGGGTGACCTTTGTAATGGAGATTACCAATTACGATTTGGCGTCTAAATAAACTAAACAAATATAGAAAACGAGCTCCTGGGTATGGCTATAGCATGTGCAAAACCAAATTTTTAACCTGATGTTATTTTTGCTTTTATTTAAAGTGTAGGTATATGTATGAAATTTCATTTAATTGCTTCCATAAATAAGAAAGTTGGCACTGCACATCTTACACAAAACCAAATTTAGAAAATGGCGCTACATTTGCTTTTATTCCAAGTGGCTATGTATCAAATTTCATTTAAATACTGTTATAAAAAAAAGTTTGCAATTCGGTTTATAAATGGTAGAGATGCGAAAAGGGCACTGTAAATTTTGAATCGATTCGACTCAACTTTTAGCATTGCGTATTATATGGCTAAAGCTATGCTCATATTAAATTTCATGCAATTCAGTTCATAACTAACGGAGATGTCAAAGCGATCGGACATTTCTAAACAAAGATATCGTTCACACGGACAGATAGAAGGACAGACAGATAAAGGAACAGACGGACAGACCAACAGACAGACGACAGACAGCAATACAAAATTATAAACGATCTCTAGGATCGTTAATAAACGGCAAAAGTGTAAAATTATGGAACATGTAAAAAACGGTTTATTGGATTTTTACAATAACTTTTTATAGCAATAAACCTTCCTTGGTGCAAGCCTCGACATCATAACGAACCAAATAGCGAAAAAAAGTAGAACAATAGCTCTTTAAAATGAAGAACTAGTAGCGTTTCAACGAACGAGCGGACGGACGGACGGACAAAGTGCTCACAATAGCGCATTTTTTTTATTTCTATGGAAATGCGCTAAAAATCGCTACTACCCCACCTTTTGCATTCCAAAAACCCCCACTTACTGGACTATAGTTTCAGTGTAGTTGTTGCATAGAACAATGAAGTGGAACAGTGACACCAATCTTGAAATCACCGCAGGATTTTTGATTTGTTTTCTAAACTATATGATATCTGTTGGCATCATTTCTAATGCAAAGTATTTGCAGGCTGTTATTGGATTTGGTAATACTAACTCACCTCCATTCACCTGGTTATGTGGAGGAGCTTTAATAAGCGAAAGGTTTGTCCTTACAGCGGCCCATTGTTTAGATACAGACAAGTAAGTATTTTTTTTACTTTTTGAAACTACCCAATAAACATACTATAATATCTACAGGCAAGTCATCAATAATCAAGTCACCGATTATTAAAAGTCATAATAACTAAAATAGTATAAACTTACGCTAGGGGCCCAAGCCTTAAGGTTTTTTTATTTGCAGAGCAGCACAAGTGTCAATAACATTGTTCACATGGACCTGTCCCCTTGAGTATGTGGCCTCCGCTCTCCGTAGTAGACGTAATTTGCCTTAGATTTGAAGGTGTAGTTTTCAAAACATTCCACATTGAAACTTCACGGGGCAAAAATTGTAGGCGAAGCAAAATCCACCAACACGGTTGAAAACTCTTGAACGCATCTTTAATTTTGACTGTTTACTAAAATGATGTAATTTTTTTAAAAGTTTCCGACGGGTAGCTCAGTGTTTTCCTGTATTCCAAGTGCCCATGTATCAAATTTCGTTTAAATTCTTCTATAAATAAAACAGTTGGCACTGCGCATGCGCAAAACCAAATTTTGAAACTGGCGTTAGATTTTCATTTATTCCAAGTATCAAATTTCATTCAAATACTTTTATTAATAAAAAAGTTTGCAATTCGGTTTATAAATGGTCGCGATGCGAAAAGGGCACTGTGAATTTTGAATCGATTCGACTCAACTTTTGGCATTGCGTATTATATGGCTAAAGCTATGCCCATATTGAATTTCATGCAATTCAGTTCATAACTAACGGAGATCTGAAAGCGATCGGATATTTCTAAACAAAGTTATCGTACACACGGACAGATAGAGCGACAGACAGACAAAGAAACAGACGGACGGACCAACAGACAGACGACAGACAGCAATACAAAATTATAAATGATCTCTAGGATCGTTAATAGACGGCAAAGAATTATGGAACATGTAAAAAACGGTTTTTTGGTTTTTTTACAATAACTTTTTTAGCAATAAACGCAGAAAAAATTCCTTCTTTGGTGCAAGCCTCGACACCATAACGAACCAAACAGCGAAAAAAGTAGACCAATAGCTGTTAAGAGTACGTTCTCTACATACGGCTAGGGAAGCGCTCCGCGGTCGGGTGGAGAGGATCGCAGTCGGAGGCGGGCATTAGCATATCCCTACTGCAGTATTTTCTGACCGATTTGAAAGGAACGTATTTGAACTTATTCGTAAGGTACGCGTACTTTCAAATTTGCACTGCTATACCATACCGGATAGTGCCTTGCGCGACGCAGTATACAATTTATAATTAAGAATCCATTACACGATAATATATTTCGGTACTTCATCGTGAACCATTTGAAAATTGTAACAAGTGGTTTAGCCTCGGGTTTAACTTGTGTTAGTTGTTCGACTCCATGCCCTATAACTCAAACTTGAGGCTTACTTAGTTAGGAAATAAATTTCGTGATAAAAAATAGTTACAATTGTTCCTACTATTCTGGATGAATTTTTGCGTACCAGCAATCAGTCAACTCAGTAAATTTAAAAGATTAGATATTACCTTGCAGTTTTGCGAAAACCTAGGTACAAAAACGTATAATACGATGTTTATTGGGCATAAAGCAGCGGGAGTCATGGCGACCATATTTCATCAAATATAACATCCTCACGCTCACCCTTCCATCGATATATATATATTGGAAGTATTAACACATATCTACAAAAATAAACACCAACTTAGGCGCAACAATCGTATATTGTAAAAATCAGATTTATAGATATTTTTTGGAAATTTTAACCGAAGATTCATCTAGTAAAGGCAAACATATCGCATATTGTAAACATTAGGTGTGTGCATGCGCACTGCGCAGACTACTCAAAGGCTAAGTTTCTTATTTATAAGAATATTAAATGCCTCAACTTATTTTCCTTTGTACGCATAAATAAGGGAATCTTTCGGGAATTTTCAAATTAGCTTTAAGCAACACAAAAATACCTTATGTTAAAAATATTTATTTATTATGTACAATGGTTTAATTCTTATAGTCATAAGATACACGACTCATTCACAGCAGTAAGGAAAAAAAATGGAATATTTTTATATACAGCGTGTTTCAAAATGAATAGAGGGGTTTTAACATGTTATAATATTTAATACATCAAACTTACAGCCACAATTGTTATATCAAATGAAAGAGAAACTCAAACAGTTTTACATTATAGCCTACAAGTGTTCAATGTGAGCACCATTCGTCACTTGGCATACGTCAAGACGGTATGCTAGTTCTTCCCAAACTTTGATGAGTGTCTCATTAGTAATTGCTGCAACAGCTGTTTCAATCCTGTTTCTTAAATCGGGAAGGTCGGCTGGCAGTGGAGGCACATACACACGGTCCTTAATAAACCCCCAAAGATAAAAATCACACGGGGTTAGGTCGGGTGACCGTGGAGGCCATGCGAAACAAGCCCTGTCATTAGGCCCCTTACGGCCAATCCAGCGGTAGGGTACAGTTAGGTTAAGCCAATCGCGTACCTCATTATGCCAGTGAGGCGGCGCACCATCTTGCTGAAAGATGAAGTTTTGTGGTTCATCATGTGTCAGTTGAGGGAAGAGCCATTGCTGTAACGTATCCAGATAAGAAGTACCAGTGATAGTTGCTTCACCAAAAAAGAAAGGACCATAAATTTTCTGCCGGATATGGCACAAAAAACATTCAATTTAGGAGAGTCTCGTTGCACTTGTACCATCATGTGGGGATTTTCTGAGCCCCAAATCCTAACATTATGGGTGTTAACTCGACCACTAAGGTGAAAGGTCGATTCATCACTGAAGACGACAAGATCCAGAAAATCTTCATTGTCATGCAACAACATGTCGTTAGCGAAGTTGGCACGTAAAAGATGGTCGGTAGGCTTCAGAGCCTGTAACAACTGCAAACGATAAGGACGTAGCTCTAAGCGTCGCCGTAAAACTCTCCAAACAGTCGTCACAGGAATTGCTAATTCACGACTAGCCTTCCGAACGGATTTCATAGGGCTACGCGTCAACGAATTACGCACTTGCTCAACGCTCTCTTCACTAGTTCGTGGTCGTCCCGTACTCTTGCCTTTACAAAGGCAGCCAGTGTCTTGAAACTGATGATACCATCTACGAATGTTGTTATCACCTGGAGGAGCACAACCGAACTTAATCCGGAACGCACGTTGCACAGTAACAACAGATTCCGTCTTTGCAAACTGTAAAACACAAAACGCTTTCTGTTCTTTAGTCGCCATCTTTGCTATTAGCGCTTTCTAGCGGATTGCGGCGGAAACATACGCACTGATGCCAACAAACAAAAACTGTTTGAGTTTCTCTTTCAGTTGATATATCACTTGTGGCTGTAAGTTTCATCTATCAAATATTATAACATGTTGAAACCCCTCTATTCATTTTGAAACACGCTGTATAGTGTTTTTAGGTGTTTACTTTATCACTTTGTGCATTGGTTATATACTCCGGGTTTCTTATTTCTAATCCTCTTGTATGTCTAGGGTCTATAATTTCAGGCAAGAGACAATTAAAATAAAATTTATGTAATTTTGGTAGCATTGAATTTATAAAAAAAGTTCTATCAATTGGAATTTTTATACAGACAATTTCCTTTGGAGTCCATACCGCAAAATAACATTGTTCTTTGTCTGATATATTCAATTGCCCCTGGACTTGGTAGTAATAATTATGACTGGTCTTTAAATTATAGGTATCACCTTCTATGTCCAAATATGTTATCAGTTTATTTGCAACTGCTTCTTTAATAGTATTGTTTCTGGCTGAGTACGGACATTTAATTTCTACCAGACATCCTGAATTCACTTCAATTCCATCTGGAGAAGCACCAAGAAATGGCCAATCTTCATTTATAAAAAGGCCACAGCTGGAAATTTGCAAACCAAATTTTGATTCTAATTCTCGTTTTGCTCGGTCTTCATTATTTTTTCCCCAGGTCGTTGCCTTCGAAAAAAATTCTGTATACAAAGTGCCTTTTACAGTTGATGAACAACTTGTTGATTTTCGCATTTTGCAAATTTTTCCAAATATGGAGGATGTTAATAATTTTCTTCGATAGTGCTTCCATTCAGATGAATCGGCTTGTAGACGCGTTTTCTTTTCAATTTCTTCATATTCAGCTGTTGATTTATGAAGTGCTCTTATAAACTCGCTTTTCATTTCCTCAAACGTCTCTTGATCAACATCTGGCTTCTGGCAATTATCTCCATAGTCAGCGTCTGTGGAGGCAGAAGAAAATATTAATTTTTTTCTGGCTCTGCTTTGCTTGTGAACATTTTGCCTTCTTAATTTACGCAGTTCCATTTCTTGTACAGTCTTTCCGGGGCTATACCCGCCAGTTAAGTGTTTATGCACGTTGTATAACGGTTGTTTACAGTTTTTTGAAACAACTGCAGAGTAACATCGGCCTTGGTAACATCTTCGCTGGGTATAGTTCACACGTTTTCCGCCAAGTTTTTGTGCAATAATTGAATTAAACTGTTCTACTACATTTGTCGTAACGTTTTCGAGTAAGCTTCTAGAGTGTCCTGCCAAATACCTTACTGCGTCCATTAGCTTTTCATCGAGGTTTAATGTTCGAAAATCAGACATGTAATTATTTTGGTCAGGTTCCGTTTTTTCACAAAAATAGCGTAATTCCGAACAATTCAAATGTTCTCCAAATATATGGCTTACGCTATTGATGATGTCCTTTCTCAGGTTTTTGATATTATCTTCTAAGCTTGTATTGGCTTCACTCCTTCTATACTTAATTGCCTTCACCACCGCCGTTCTGCAGCGTAAAATGTTGTTTGACAAAATATTTTTTAGTGATCCAGGAATACCCCTCATCTTGGAAAGTTCCTTCAGTTTATTGCAATAATTTCTGAGTAAATGATTGCTACATTCAATTTTCTCCACTGTACAGGTTTCATACGGTCTACTATCTAGTAGTTTTTTGTAACAGCTACTGTCACCATCAGCTATAAGTTTATTATAAATAAGCCCATACATTTCAAGGCTTGCACAAAAACCTTCAGCTATAATGTTCGCTTCCATTGCCGTTGAAGAAAGGTTCCAGTTTTTATAGCACGTGTGCGCGGCAGCTTCAGTGCCGATATTTTTAGCCCTTTGGCATACACAGCAGTACTTGTTCTTAACACCTAAATACAGAATCTTTTTTGATTTTAACCCTACTATTGCAGCAGTTCCAGAAAGGGAATTATAATTTCCTGTCCCTCTGTATGAACGCTTGGCCCAGCTTCCGTCGCCAACTACAGTAATCATTGGCGTTCCATTTACGTCTACGCTGCCACATTGTAAAGCTATCATTTTTTCTTCTTCTGCAGCCTCTTTCATGGATTTCCAAGCAAGGTCTTCCCATGCAGTGCATATTTCACTATGAATCTTCTTGTATAAAGAAAAACTTAAACTCGGAATGTTCATTGCACCAGTAATATTTACGAGTTGTGTGTAACCGCCTCCTACGTTCATGACTGCGGTAACTGCTGACGTATTCACGTCTACGCTTTGTGGACTTTCTGGACAGGTATATATAGATTTAGAAAAACCACACATATCGCATTTAAAAGTAAGTTTGGTTTGGTAACCCACTTTTAGTTCTTTTACTACTTGCAAATTCACTAAACTGCACCCAAATAATGTGGAATGAGTAGATAAGGTTTTCAAAGACTCGATGAATTTTTGTAGGTCTACTACTCGTAGCCCATCGATAGACACGGCTGAGGTTGAATTCCTAAAACAAAAATTAAGTTTTTTTAGTCACAATCAAAATGAGAATGGTGAGTTTCATAGCAATTGTGTGTGAATTAGAATAAGTGATCCTTCCAGAGTGTGTTAAAAACCTTTTAACACAGTCGCCACTTTTTCGTTTTTGTGAAGACACATCTTGTATGAAGCTGGTGTGCGAGAAATGATTATAAAATACTTGAATTACCTACCTTTTATTCCCTTTTACAATAGGCGCCAGTGATGGTTCGGTAGCACTAAAAATTTCCTCTTCATTTGGAAAATCATTGTTCTCTACCCTAAAACGGTATAAAGATAAACACATAAAAAATCGATATGGAAAATATTACGTTTTCCTTTTTTCTATCTCTGGGGATTCAGGTGAAGATTCGGTAATATTGGCAATGATTTCTACATTTGGCAGAATACTTTCCTTTTCCCTATAACATTATATAAAGATACTAAAAATCAAAGAAAAAAACATATGTTGAAAAATAGATAAAAAAGTAGATTCTAGTCAAACTACCCACTTCTAGGTTATCAAACACATCGTGTCGATGAGTAGGAACTAAAAATGGATGATTTATTATGTTGATGGGCAGCATTTAATTAAATATCGCTGTCCTCAAACTATTTAAGGTGGTAGCTGTACTAAAAAAATGCGCTTTTTTCCAGAACTATGTGCGTGCGCAAGTAAAAAAGTTTAGTTTTTAATCTAACACTACGGCCATATTTTGAATAACTATTTTACCGTAACGACGTTTTTACAGTGTTATGGCTCTAATTTTTATAATAACTGATTCTGTTTTTTATGATAGATCCCTAATTACAGTATGTCTCAAGTTACGTGACTTTTTGGACATGTGTTTGACACAAAAAATTAAAGAAATAGAGACATAACAAAATTTATTTATAAGAAAAATTCTTTATAACTCGACACAGCTTTTTATTTGCTAATTAATTGCTCCTTTTCGATTAGCCACGAGTGTCCGCAAGATAGGAGTATTACAATAAAGCATTGTAACACGCGTTTTTCATACTATTTTTTCTATTTCGGTGTCACAATGATGATTTTGTACAACTGTTTTCGGCCGAAAACAGTTGTACAAAGACAGTGATTATAGTCGTTTTTTTTTGGTAACTCATCTCTTAAGTTGGCAGTTACTAGTTAGTACAAGTAGGTACTTCCTTGGGTACTTCCCATATATATAAGAGAAGAAGAGAAGTATATGGATAACCGCCTATGATTGCAATGTGCAAATTGTTCGCCATAAAAGAGAGCTGCCCTATTCCTTAGTCCTCAACTCTGTATTTATGCGCAAACTCCCCAAGTAAACATTTACTTCTCTCCGCCTACTTTTAAGTAGCGCCAATTTCAAATTTCATAACCTATAACTCGAAAATAGGGTTAAAATTTTATTAAACCATTATTGTGTGCAATTACCATATGTAAACACAACCACGCACCATTCGGAAACTTCACCCAGACTTCTATTCGCTTCATGCAGGTAAAGAACTAGTAGCGTCTCAACGAACGAGCGGTGGTGTGGTTGCAGTCTAACAAATTCTGCATAGTGGATTTTCTTTGCAATGATGAAAAGGACGAGTTATTTATGTATTAAGGGCATAATAGTGATGTTTATATTCTCGAGGGCCTACGGCCCGAGAGCTTTTTAGTCGCCCGAGAGTATAAACATCAGCTTACGCCCGTGGTACATACAAAATTTTATGTCTTACAAATAGTTTTCTTCGTCAAAGTAAATATTCGTTTACAAAATAATTCATTATGTTTGATCAAGTATGCGCGGTTCGAATTTGTTAATGTGATTGAAACCATCCAAACGTCAAACGTAATTTTAAATAATTCAATTCATCGTCAATGAGCAAGAAGTTCCAGAAACCAAAGAGTATATAAGGTTGTATACTCTTTGCAGAAACTATACGGAATAAGGCCAATCTTGTGATTTAGTAGGTATTGACAATTACTAATTGACGTTTCTAATTTTCAATGACCTGAAATCTGAAAATATTTGTTTGTTTTGTCATTAAGTATGAATGAGTTACTATGGTGATACTTAATGCCCTAGGGCATAAAGTGGTACACGATATAAAATGTGCTATGATAGGTTAGTAAGACATACAAAATTGAAATATCGGTGTTAGTTTTTTAGGAAAATGGATGAATAGAAAAATCGTTTTTCGTAAATAACAGCCGTTGTAATGGGAGTAGAAAAACGTACAGCACCAATTTGGAAATCCGACAGTATTTCCTATGGCGGTACTTAAAGATATTATTTCCACCTATTATGATAATGCACATAAGTATTTAAAAAAATATGTATCGTGATCTTCAGAAAAAGTTACAAAAGTCCTCGGTATGTGGCAATCGCGATGAGACTTCAGCTGCATTTTTTGGCGTGACGGACAGTATGCATTAGCAATCAGTAATTTTATCAGAAAATTTTTAATTATAAAATAAGGTTTATGCAAAACATACAGGGTGGGTGACTTGCGTAACGCATCATAGGGATTTCAATGTAAAATCCATAACATGCGATTATTGGCTCCCCAAATTATTTTAGAGCAAAAATGTATTAAGGTTTTTTGTAGAAACAAATTTTTTACGTCAATAAACCGTATTAGTTTTCAATTTTTTGCATAATAAAGACGGAAAGACGGAAAATTGGAAAAATAAAACCCCCATCTTTTCAATAAACTGTGATGCCATGGAATTTTATAATAGAAAAGCTACGCCAATATCCGTCATGCCATGGAATGTCTGCTATAAAACAAATCAAATTCTATCAAAAAGTATTATATTTAGAACAGCGAATTCAACATAAAGAAAGACCAAATTACTAAAAACGGTTTCCTAATATAACAATTTACAATAAATGTTCGAATAAGTCCCCATTAAATGCAAGACAGTAACCAAGTCGATCATAAAATCCGAGATAAAATCCATTTCGAACGGCTGCTAATTGATAATTGGATATCTTTTTGTTTTAGAAAATTCCATGGCATCACAGATTATTGATAAGATGGGGGTTTTATTTTTCCAATTTTCCGTCTTTATTATGCAAAAAATTGAAAACTAATACGGTTTATTGACGTAAAAAATTTGTTTCTACAAAAAACCTTAATACATTTTTGCTCTAAAATAATTTGGGGAGCCAATAATCGCATGTTATGAATTTTACATTGAAATTCCTATGATGCGTTGCGCAAGTCACCACCCTGTATATTTCTTTATTAATTTTCACGAACTCTAATAATAATTGGACGATGGTATGAACAGTACGACTCGTAAACCGAACAATCAACAGTGTAGTTGACCATTTTGCCAAAACCTCCGTCAATTATTGTTCCGCCATTCGTTGTCACTGTTCGGGGAGAGATGATCACTATATTGAATTTCTCTTGAAGAAATTTCTCTACCCGATTTCCGACAGTTAATGGGAAATTAAAGTCTCCCATAATCAAGACGTCTTCAGTTGCCTCAATGAAATCCCCGATATCCGATAACGCTGCAATCAACAAGTTGTTGCCTTTACTAGGAACATCAGTGGTTCAAATTTCAAAGAAATATCTCCATAAATAAGAAAGTCAGTCACTGCGCATGCCTACACATAATTTTTACTATTTGCGAAATGTTTGCCTTTACAGAAGCATCTGTGGTTCCAATTTCAAAGAAATATCTCCATAAATAGGAAAGTTGGCATTGCGCAGGGACTGCGTATGCGCACACATAATTTTTAGTATGTGCGCAATGTTTGCCTTTACTAGAAGCATCTGTGGTTAAAATTTCAAAGAAATATCTCCATAAATAAGAAAGTTGACATTGCGCAGTCACTGCGCATGCCTACACATAATTTTTACATTTGCGAAATGTTTGCCTTTACTAGAAGCATCTGTGGTTAAAATTTCAAAGAAATATCTCCATAAATAAGAAAGTTGGCATTGCGCAGTCACTGCGCATGCCTACACATAATTTTTACTATTTGCGAAATGTTTGCCTTTACTAGAAGCATCTGTGGTTCAAATTTCAAAGAAATATCTCCATAAATAGGAAAGTTGGCATTGCACAGGGACTGCGCATGCGCACACATAATTTTTAGTATGTGCGCAATGTTTGCCTTTACTAGAAGCATGTGTGGTTAAAATTTCAAAGAAAAATCTCAGTAAATAGGAAAGTTCGCATTGCGCAGTCACTGCGCATGTCTACATAATTTTTACTATGTGTGAAATGTTTGCCTTTACTAGAAGCATCTGTGGTTAAAATTTCAAAGAAATATCTTATAGAATATTTCATAAATAAGAAAGTTGGCAATGCGCAGTCTGCGCAAAATAGAGAGTGCAATAAAACTGTCTGAAATGGGCAAATATAGACCATAGCAGCTATCAATTAGCGAAAACCCGAAGTCTCTAGGTGTCCCAGGGGCCGAGATCTCGATGGAACGGACGGACGGACGGGCGGACGGACGGGCGGACGCACAGACGGAAACACGAGTACATAAGCGTTACCTCAACTTCGTTGTGTTACGCTAAAAACCGCTCAGACCTGGATACGATATTTTTAACCAAAATTATACCACAAACTGTAAAACTCATCACCGTGTTATGATTTTGATTAGTTTTCACCTTGAAGTAGTTATCTTAGATAAGTCATATTAGTGACCGTAGTTAAGCAATGCCAAAAGTATATTTTATAAAAAAGCCATTCCTCTACGTCAATCGGATCGGCTTAAAATCGATATACGCACGGACAAGTTTTCAAGCGGCGTTAGTTATTTCACAAATTCTAATTAAACGCAACCACTACGGGCTTAATGAATGTCCATTGCGCCAATAACTCGACAAGACGGAGATAATGCAAAAAACCGGACCTCTCTACGATGTCTAGATCAAAAGTTTTTCAATCCGCCCAGCCAGCCAGCCAGCCAGCCGGACAAAGTGAAATGATAAGCTCCTTTTTGTTACCAAAAATGCGCTAAAAAAGGCAATGTACCTTCCTTTCTTACCAAAAATCGACTGCACCAAAATTTCTCGGGAAAACACTTTTTCGTATTAAGTTTGGTGCGTAGAACCCAAAACAATTCATACTTTTTCAATTAGACTTCTCAATCAAAAGTTATAGACTAGAAACCAATTTCGAAAGACAATTCAAAGGGCTGTAACTTTTGAACTAGTAACCCAATCTTGGAACTGTTTGAAATTATGAATTCTACAGGCCACATTATATAAGAAAAATTTTTTTCCGGGTCGATCTGAGACAATTTTTTTTCGGGGCTCAAAAAAAGGCAGTGTATAACCTTCCTTTTTTACAAAAAATCGACTACACCAAAATTTCTCGGGAAAACACTTTTTCTTATTAATTTTGGTGCGTAGAATCCAAAACAATTCGTACTTTTTCGATCAAACTTCTCAATCAAAAGTT